ATATATATATATATATATATATATATATAGATATCAAATCAATTGAATCATTGACAAGCTGATGTGTATCAAGGGGGGAGACGGAATACGATGTTTTTTTTCGGAACTCACTCCGCCACGTATACATGCGAAGACAACAGACAGAGGTTTGTGGAAAGTTGTCAGAGCCTGTGCGTCTATACATTCGAATGTAGGCACGAAAAAACATTAAACGAGAGATTGATGTATCAACACAGCACGTTGACTGAGAAATCGGAGGGTAGTCAAACGTTTGATTCGGTGACTAGTTACCAGAAAACGGACCGGAGCTGACATACGATGGAACGGGAGATCAAGGAGTTAACGGACAAGTAGATCCATCTTGAACTTACACGCATTTCGCTCGTCAAACTGACATACCTTGCTCCCGGAGCTCCATTGTAGACAAGTATCGAGTATAGACAACACACAGGGGGGGACGAAAGTGGACAGTCAAATGTGTTCCGATTAGAGAAAGAACAAACAACCGTGTTTTGAAGGCAGCACGCAATCAGCACAACTTTGGCAGGCTCATAATGCTAGTTCAAAGGGTGCGAACGGTGCACTGCATTGGATCATGGTTGGTCGCATGAACACACAGAATAGCCTAATAGTCTAGCTGTATACATCCAACCATGAAACATCGGAAACATTTGGGAGCCATCCTAGTTCAGACGACGTGCGATTGGAGTCGGACCGTTAGGGCTATTACCAAGATCAAGTGGAACAGTATACGTGAACGCGAGTGCACGTAATATAAAGGACACTTTAAACGATATCCAAACGTCATATGACAATTAGCATTTCTGGTTCTTTTTGACAGCTCAGGTGAAGGCAGTGTAACAACAATAGTTTAATATCTTAGTCCGGGGGACACCTTAATTAATTGCGATAGGTTCAACTGATGCACAATATCACTTCGTTCACACCCTAATTCTGTTTCGCCCACAGTAATGCAGTGACTAGACAGCGAGAACCGATAGAATGGGAGAAACCGGTTATTGTATTAATCATACCAAACTAGCACCAGGTAAACTGGGGACACTCATTGCGTTGGCTAAGTTACGATCGTAAATTCGCGTGCACATAACCCATGGATTATGGGTTCCGTGCATTAATAATAACCTCGTTGAGGACATCCGTGGTGGATACATGCAAGAGAACATGTTGACTCCGCCCTGCTCCCCATAGAAAAATAAGGGGTGTAAAAATTCGCGTTCCGGACAAGAAAGCATTAAATCAGCCCCCCTCGCATCGATTCGCATATCATAGAAGTCGTTCGTGAACAGCTGATGTGTATGTGCCACAGAAACACACTTATGCGGCAGTC